ACATTTTTGTTATTGGAAGCCTTGCACCACCATGTAAGAAGTCCGACTACTCTGCTGCAGCAACCACAATGGCTGTATGTAAGTGCTAGGGAAAGAGGAAGAGGCCCTGAAACTACATGTGGAGAGGAAAATACCCAACTATAGTGTCCCAATGTTCTAGCTAAATCCAGCCTAGATTATAAAATCATGAACAAATTAATGAGTTAACTGATTAGGAAGAAACAATTGAGTGGTCCCACTCAGAATACTATTGCTAACCTCTTCTTCTTGCTTTCAAATAGTATTTCTCAAAGTCTGGCCTGAAGACCATCTGTATCAGGATGCCTTGGCATGTTTATTTGAAAGGGAAAATTCTAATCCAAGCTCAGAATCTCTGGGATAAGTCAAGGGAATCAGCATCTTTCATGAAACTTTCCCAGTTGATACATAGGCTTGATAAAATTTAAGAACTTCCTTAAGGACTCTTTCCTGTCTGCTTTTACTCTGTTCTCAGGAGTTCAAATTCCTGCTGTTGCTCACAGGCTGGCCCAAAATTCTAGATCAAAGACTTTCTCAGTGACAAATGTGGTGGTGCATGCATGTAATCCAGAGACTTGGGAGGCTAAGGCAGGATAATGGCAAGTTCAAGGCCAGTTTGAACAACAATGACATACTGTCTCAAAATTAAAAAAAAAAAGAAAAGAAAAGAAAAAAGAAAGAAAAGTGCTGGGAATGTTGTTCAGTGGTAAAGTACCCTGGGTTTAATCTTTGGTTCTAGAAAAAGTAAATAATTTCTCATGGTTGGTGTTTTCCTCTCACATGCCCAACTCTGTTCTACATGGTTCACTCTTGATTCAACTTGTGATCCACCAAGGCAAAAACTGTAAAACTTAAGGTTTTGTCTCTTAGGTTCCAGAATGTCACTTCTGATTAATTCTATTAAACTTCACTGACCTGAGTGACTCAGAGGCAAATCTTTTGTATTTTCTATGATCTTGTGGGAAGGGGAATTAGACTTCATCTGTTGGTAAGTCATTTGCAATCTGCTCCGGAAGGGGCACGTTGGATAAGATCCACAAGTGTGGATCTCTCTGAGGTATTGAGGTGCCTCTCTTGCTCCAGCTGAGTCAGCTCATGCTGAAGACCTGGAGTTCCTGGCCGTGCAAACTACTTCTGGTTTTCCTTTCTCGGGCACATCAATTATTCTCATCC